TTTATATGGAAAATCCTAGCTTGGCATTAGCAAGATTTTGGGACAATGAATTTTGGGTCAATTATGCACTTCTATTTTAAACACCCTTTACCAGAAAAGTTGTATTCATTTGGATGATGTTAGTTCAATTGCATGCTTACATTAAATGAGTAAAAGCATTTGAATTTTGTATTTCTTGCTTTGTATGTATGCAAACAACCAAAAATAGGAAATTCATTGTCAATCAATCAATAATTTTTATTTTGTGTGTGTTGGTGTTATGTACTCAGGTGAATATATGATGTTTGTGATGTTACTGTGAGTGTGCATCCACACTGGGCAAGCTGAAAAGTTAGCTTGGCCACAGTGGGAATCGAACCAGTGACCGTGGCCAAGCTAACTTTTCAGCTTGCCCAGTGTGGATGCACACTCAGTGAGAGTCAGTGGCGTAGCCAGCCCGACAATTTAGTCCCGCTATGCAAATTATTATCATTATTCATTTCTCTAGAAATTTATTGTTTTCACAGTCAATGAACATGAAAATATTTGCATAGCGGGACCAAATAGTCGGGCTGGCTACGCTACTGGTGAGAGTAACATCACAAACATCATATATTCACCTGAGTACATGACACCAACACACACAAAATAATAATATCATTGAATACCCCTGTACACTGATATCCAAGGAACTAGACTCAGTTCCAAAATATCATCAACTCGAACAGACTTGACCATGTAGCTCAGTTGGCAGAGCATTGGACTAGTATCCCAAAGGCTTCAGGTTTGATTCCCACCGTGCCCAAACTAACTTTTCAGCTTGGCCGGTGTGGATGCACACTCAGAGTAACATCACAAACATCAATCAATAATTTGCTGCTGTTATATATCACCCTTATATATTGTTTTCTTACTAGGGATTGTCATTAATATATGGATTCAACAAAAGCTTCCCAGGAGAAGGCAAGTTGTCTAAACAAGTGGTATTATATGTAATCATTAATGGCATTCTAAGAACTTCATGGTCTATTTGGAAAATGTTATTCTTTCTCACACACCGCTGGGAGCTGCTGCAGCGTCAGCCGCCGGGAGCTGCTGCAGCGTCAGCCGCAAGCTTGACATTTATTAATTTAAACTACCATACATTACAAATGCTCGCTTAATAATTAACCTAACAGGTACATATATCCAATCCAACGCCGTTCTGTACTAATAAACATAAAAGGGCTGGGTGGGCGGGATACTGTCAAGCTACGGTGAGCAACAACAAAAATATGCTCATATAACCTGCACCACCCTGTAACACCCTGATTTCATCAGGCCCCCAGCAGTGTGTGAGAAAACATTTTCCGCTTCTTTCGTGCCTCAGCCAGCGGAAAATAACACTTTGCTGGAGAGAATTTTTGTGAATTACCAAACCATGCAAGGGATGGAGTTGCCGACTTGTGGTATACAGCTTGTTTTGTACTAAATTTTTACTAATGGACTTGCTTGACATGTTTGATTGAGCAGTGACACTACATACATTTAATACATGCAGTATATTTTACTTGTAAAGATTCTACATTGAACAGAATATTAACCCTTTAAGTGGCAATTTGCTTTACTTTTTTATTTTTTCTGTCAAATGTGGTCAGACAATTTTTGCTCATTAAGGAGAGAGTGCTGCCACTTAATGGGTTAAAGCTTTTCTGTAAATGTAAATTTTTTGAACAATAACTATGTAATAGCCGGTACTGTGCTGGGAATGGAACCTGCTGCCCTACAGGTGATTCTGATCAGCTTTTTAACCGTCAAAGGTCCTGAAGCCCTAAGAGTCCATCGCCCTGACAGTCATTCAAGCTCTACTGTAACCAAGAGTTCATGTGTATAATACTAGTGTCATCCTGGGCAGTTTATTTAATACACTACCAATGACACCACCATGGTATACATACAACAACTTGTGGTTACCTCTTGGCAAAAGGGCTCTTTAGGTCAGAGGGCTGCGGTAGAATTGCAGGGCTGCAGGTTCAATTCATGCTGACAGGCTTGTAATTGTATTGCACATGTATTCATGATATCATTCTAATCATGTATTCATGATATCATTCTAATCAATTTAGAACTTCATTAAAATATTATAGGGCGTGAGAGTATTTCATTATATTATGCTACAGCAAATTGTATTTCCTGCTATAATATACCTTACTTGTAGGGATAATAAATTATTTTGACTCGAAAAATGTCTTTATTGATTTCTAAAGTTAGTTAAAGACTTTTCTTTACTCCGATATATAGAAGTCATTTTGTCTCCAAAGGAGTCGACTTGACTCCAAAAGTGGAGTAAATAAAAAAGGTACAGAACGACTCCTTTTTTGGAGTAAATTTTACTCCTTTATTTACTCCATTTTTGGTGTAAATTTGGAGTAAATAAGGGAGTAAAATTTACTCCAAAAAAGGAGTCGTTCTGTACCTTTTTTATTTACTCCACTTTTGGAGTCAATTTGACTCCTCGAAATTAACAGTGTTTCTCAACATGTTCATGCCAGGTAAGTTTCTCGGTAATTGTGCATGCCCAGATATTTCAACGATCGTTCTTGTTTAATTGTCCGATTGCAAATAGAGATGTTGATGTTGGAGATGGATCTTAGGCGCTGTCTACCGGAGAAAATAATGAACTTTGTCTTGTCATGATTGAGTGTAAGGAGTTGTTAGGATAATCGGAAAGCGATCGTAGGTTGGAGTTGAGTTTTGACTGCAGTTCGGAAATACTTTCTGCAGAGTAATAAAGGAGTGTGTCATCGGCATAAAGTATTGCGTCAATCATTCAGGTAGATCGTTAATATAAATAAGGAATAGAAGTGCTCCAAGAATACTTCCCTGTGGGACTCCGAAAGTTACTGGCTTGGGTTGGGACAATGAACTGTTGATCATGGTTACTTGGGTCCGGTTTGATAGATACGAGCAGAACCGGTCGAGAACAGAACCGGTCGAGGTAAAACCGATTGTTTTCAATTTCTCCAGTAAGATGGTATGGTCGACGATATCAAAAGCTTTCCTTAGGTCGATAGAGACGGCACCAGTAATCTTTCTGTGGTCGAGAATATCCAGTATCTGCTTAGTAAAATGTGCCAGGGCAATGGTAGTTGACAGTTTGGAGCGAAAGCCGAATTGTTGGGAAGCTAGCAACTTGCGTTCCTGCATGTAATTGTAAACTTGATGGTGGACGGTTTGTTCTAGTGACTTACTCAATGTTGGTAGGATGGTGATTGGTCGGTTATTGTTGGATGAAGTTGGGTCTCCAGATTTAAAAATTGGAGTAAATCTACCTTTCTTCCAGATGTCGGGAAATGAGCCACAGCGTAAGGAGAGGTTGAAAAGTTTGGTCAAATATGGTGCAACTAGATAGGCGGAATCTCTGAGTAGTTTAGCACTAAATCCGCCCAGGCCAGTGGCTTCGTTCGTCCTTAATTTACTCAGTTCCTCCAACACAGACATTTCATCAACTTCTTTGAATTTAGAGGAGTAACGTGATGTAGCGGTGTCCTAGTCAATGTAGGTTTGATTAGATTTTTAATTTTTCTTAATTCAAATATTGCACTATAAATCTTTCCAATGACCACATTTAACAATGAGCGCAAGAAGAAATGTCCCTCTTGCTTTAAAACTATTCAAAAACACAAAAATCAAATGAATGTCTCACATGTATGAATCGGTTTCATTGCATGCACAAAAACATTCAACTCTAACATATATAGGTAACAATACGATTCACATGTGCCAAAATTGCTTAGCTGATCGAATCTTTACCCTTTCAAACACTCGATGATTTATAATTTGAATTTACGGTTTTAAAAGGAATTAATGTGAGCAAAGATGAAATGGATAGACTAAGGCATTTGAACTTCAAACCTTTCGACACGAGTAATTACATTGCGTTATCGGAAAGCAATGCAAATCTCGATAAATCGTCAAAAATACACTGTGAATATTATCTACCAACTGATTTTAAAGAATGAATAAATGAAACAAACCAACATAATAACTTTTCAATGATACACTAAAATATTAGAAGCATGATTAACACATTTGTCTCTTTTTAAATAATTAATATATTCACTAAATAAACCGTTTCAAATAATAAACTTAACTGAAACTTGGCTAAATGAAACTTCAAATTCCAAAATTATGATATTGTAAAGGTAAAGAGGTCAATTAAAAGTGGAGGAGGATTTTGGCATTTATGTCGCAAACGAATTGAAATACAAAATACGCTTCGATTTAAATACAAGTACTGAAAATGTAATTGAATCTGTCTTTGTCGAAATTATAAGAACTGTAGGTAAAACATCATAATAGGTGTAATATATAGGCCACCAAGTAATCATTTTGACTCATTCGAAACTGGAATGAATTAAATGCTAGGGCAAAAAGACAAAGAAAACAAATTATGCTACCTAATGGGGGATTTTAATATAATAATATTGATAAATTAAGGTCAGATTCTTGTGATTATGCTATCAGATTTGTTGATCAACTGTTCACCTCATCATATGTCCCACTTGTGCTCAGGCCAACAAGAATCACTCAGCATACCGCTACATTAATTGACATTATTATATATCAATATTGAAAGTCGCATTTTTCTAGTGTTTTATTGGTTGAGAGCATATCACGTGAGAGTGACGAAATTAGGCTGTCTCCCTCGCAACAGTGCGAGAGGGAAACAATACCTTATCGACCGGCGAATAACATGCAAAAAGATCACTGCGACCTTTGGACATGCGACCTTTGGACATGCCTAGTACGTAATTAAAATTTTCTCTTTAAGTAACTGCATTGTAGCCAGTGTTTAATATAACGTTTTAACAATAAAATATTTCGTGTATTTACGTCCATTTGTGCTTTAATTTGTTGTTTCTTTGACTATTGATACATAATAAAACACTTATTTACTGAGACCTCGGGAAAGCAGTGTGTTTTTTGGACCCCCGACCGTCGATGTTTCCCTCGGCTTCGCATCGGGAACATCGACGGTCTCGGGTCCACAAAACACACTGTTCCCCTCGGTCTCAGTAAATAAGTGATACATATTCACCAATGATATAGAAACTATAGAATTAAGCTCAAATGGTTTAATTTTTAGCGATATGTCGGATCATTTGCCGATATTTTATGTACGAAATTCAAAAACATATCACGAAAAAATTCAAAGAAATGAATTTACTTGTAAAAGGATTTTCAATGATCCCAATATTCAATCGTTTCGAAACACAATAAAAAATGATTCATGGGATAATGTACTTTCTATCATGAGATAATGTACAATGAATTCTTTAACTTACTTTCAAAATAGCTTATGAAAAAAAATTTCCATTAAGAAGAAAAGTAGTAAAAAGCAGTAGCGAATCCAGCCTGACCATTTACTCTTGCTATGTTAATTTTTGCGAGATAATGATCTGTAAAAACAATCGATTTGTAAAGAAACTAATAATGATAATGAATTGAAATTTACATAGCAGGAGTAAGAAATATTGACAAAACCCGAAGCCCATCGATGACAAAATGTACTGCAAAATCAGTTAAGCAAAAGAACAAGTTATATAAAAATACCTTCAATGCCCGACAAAAAAAGGAAAAATATACAAACAATATAAAAATAAACTAAATCATATAATAAGAGCGGCAAAAAAGAAACATTACGAAAAACATTTGATAAAATATGAACATGATACAAAGGTACGTTGCAAAACATTAAATGAAATTATGAGTCGAAATAAAACAAGCAGTATGTTACCAAAGAAATTTATTGGAATAGTCTTGGAGAAAAAATTACTGATCCAAAATCAATAGCAAATAGATTCAATGATTATTTTGTAAATATTGGTCCAGGACTTGCGAAAAAACTTTCCAATAGCAAAACAAATTTTGAAAAAAATCTCACTAATAGCTGTAAAGAAAGCTTCATTATTAATCCAATAAATAAAGATGAATTAGAAAATGAGATAAATAATTTGAAGTCCAAAAAAACCCTGGATATGATGGTATAAGCTCACAGGTAATCAAAGCGATTGCTACAGAAATTTCTGAACGACTTTCATACATGTTCAACTTGACTTTTCTTTCTGGACCTCTATCTAAGCCGCTGAATGCGAATATATTGTTGTTGGTAAGACATTTGATCTATAATTTTAAAAATCAATTGTTTTGGTTAATTATACGGGTCTGTTTTTGTAATAAATCTATAGAATTCACACTCAAAATTTCCATCTACAATTAAATCCTATACTGCTCCCAGTTGCGTTGCCAAAGAAAGAAAGGAAGATTTTGACGATGTCCATGTCTCTGATTCTGAAGAAGAATATTATGATGAGAACGATCATGATGACCTAAAATGTCATAATACCACTTTGCCCTACTGTATCCTGATGATTTAAAAATAGCTCTATTGCATGTTACCCCTATTTTCAAAGCAAACGAAAACAATGAATTTAAGAATTATCGGCCCATATCTGTTCTCACTGGTTTTTACTAAATCATTCGACAGCTTATGTATAAGAGATTAATTGACAACATAGAAAAAAATAAAATATTAACACAAAATCAGTATGGTTTTACGGAAAAATAGATAGATCCATTGAACTTGCAATCATTGAACTTGTTTGACAAAATCACCCAAGCGATCGATAAAGGAGAATACACAATATATTGTGTAGATACCTATAGGTATCGATCTATAGATTACCTATAGGTATCTTCCTCGACTTAATTGTGTCAAAAACCTTTGACACAATTAATCACAAGATTCTGATTCAAAAACTAGAACACTACGGTATACGCGGAATAACAAGACAGTAGTTTGAAGATTACTTAAAAACAGAAAACAGACTGTTAAATATAACCAAGTTAAATCAAAAGCAATGATAATTAGAACTGGTGTCCCGCAGGGGTCAATTCTTGGACCAATTTTATTTCTTCTCTATATCATTGATATTGAAAATTGTAGCAAATTAATTTCATTTATATTATTTGCAGATGACACTAATATATTCTATAGTAACAAGTGTCTAAAACACTTAATAAGATTATGCAAACTGAAATTGATAAAGTTGCTAAATGCATGGTAAAATGCGAATAAGTTATCTCTAAATACTACAAAAAACAAAGTAATATTATCCCGATCTTCAAACAAAAAACCAAAGCAAAATATTAAAATTAACATTAATGGTAATAATATTGAACAAGTTAGAAATACAGTATTCCTTGGTATTGTCATTGGCGAATATTTGATCTGGAAAGATCATATAGCCAAGGTAGCAAAGCTTCGGCAAAAAAGGGGAATTCCATGATCTATAGGACGGAATATGTTCAACGTGTTGCTTAACAACTGAGAATGTAACAAAACTTCCACAAGCTGTGCACTGGCTAGATTTTTAAAAGTTTGATAAAAGTGTGATATATCATATATGCATGCTATATTACTGCACGTGCATCAAGTAAATATATGCAACTGGCCATGGCCTGCAGTCCCTATGAATCATGCCAAAAGGTCGTGCTTATTTAGAACAATTCAAAATCTGTAAATAGTCCTAAGATTACGAAAATTCATTTTTTTATGAAAAAAATTCTATATAGTGCTTCAATATAACTAAGCTACGTACATTCACAAACAATGAATAATTTGCTATTAAATCCCCTCCCATGACAATATTATCCTTTTATCTGTTTATTCTACCACTGTGCAATAATTAGAATCCTTCAGATCTTGTACTTCAACAGAAGGCATTAAAAGTTTTAGAACGAGCATGCAGGTGTATAACCGCTTGCTTGCAAGAACGCATAATGTCAAACGTGAACGTGCAAGAATGCATGTTCCAGTGTTTGCAATTAAAATAAAATAAAATAAAATAAAATAAAATGCAATGATTTTGTAGACAACAATCTTTAGTTAGGTTTTCAAACTAAAAGCACGAGAAAAGTTCCGCTGCTGGATGGAATGTCCGAATGTATATGTTTAACACAAGGACAGTTCTTCGACCTTAACTTCCTGGAACTATATATACGCATTCTTCAACAATGAGCTGGCGGATATATGTTCAACTACTGGAACGGTTATTTGAAACTTCAAAATTCAAAGTTGTGCTAATTAGCAATCATGCGTGCACAAAATCATGCAAACACACTGCAACAGAGACCCTGGTACAGGCTGGTCACGTGACAACCCAAAATCTGGGATGTCTTTAATTAGCGCCCCATATGCTACCCAGGGAGAAGTGGTTGAGTAATAGCATCATCGTTCAAAGTAAATGCTTTCTGAACGGGTCGTGATGCGATACTCTGTATAGAGGAAAAGCCAAAGATATTCCAAAAGAAAGGAACGCTTGTTTGAAAGTTCTAATTTCAAAGTTGTGGTAAGCAATCATGCACAAAATCATGCAAACACAGAATTGCCGCTAACTTTTAAATTTTAATTGCATGCTAAAACAAATTGTTAGCTGATAGAAATGAGAAGATAACCTAAATTATATAGCCTCATTTAAACACGTTCATGAATTTTATAGCAGGAAATTTCGAGTGTGAATTTTGTACTTTATTTAGACCTAATCAGGAACCGTTGCGAAAAAGGCAACTATATAAGTCGTCTGGCAGACATCGAACGTGAGGCCCTGCGATTCTCCATAGCACAGTGCTCAAAGCAACTGAGCTACAGGGGCCATGTAGTTGTTGAGCTCTGACCTCATTTTCATGTATATAAACGAAGGTGATGCCTATAAAATTCACACTTTTTTATACACCTTATATAGCTACACTCACTGTGAATGCTGTGAAGGTCGTGACAGCTTACGGGATATAGACCACCGAAATTCTGAGTTCTGATTGGCCGCGTGGATGTGATGATGAACTAAAGATTGTTTAGACCATGATCACATCCACTAAGCCAATCAGAACTCAGTATTTCGGTGGTCTATATCCCATCAACCTGTCTCGTGGCGAACTTAAATAGCAATTACAGTGGGTCTATTATCTGTGTTACTCATGCATTAGTTTGCTCTTTGAGATACAGGGTGTATAAAAAACGCAACCGCGGAATTTCCTAAGATATCAACTTTGCAATTCTTGAGCATAAAAGATTTTAGGTCCCTGGGAAATAATATCGAATTGCTAATAGTCATATTACTGTTGTCGTACTGAACTTGTAAAATAAAAACTTATTAAATGTCATTAAATGCATTTATTTTTTACCAGTGAAAATGAAGCAATCAGATTGGCTGAGGAGCCTTTCAGAGCGGGCCGGTTTTTTGCATCCGGCCCGCTCTGAAACGCAACTGCCGCGGCTGTGAAATGCAACTGCCCGCTCTGGTTTTCGCGGCAAAACTGAGGAGTGAAACAATTTTTAAACAAAAACATCTGCCAAAAACGTTTGAAAAACATAGCCTGAAGATAGTCGGAATACAAAAATGAATTGCATCAAGCCCTAAAGGCTTCATACTAAGCACGATGTTCACGAGAATTGACAATACTTTGATAAAAATGCGACTGAAAGTCGGAAAGTAGTTGCCATGTATAAAACTTACGTCGAGAAAACTATTACAGCTTAAACAGATATTGTAAAATAAATGTTTTCCTATTTATTAAAAGAAGGTTTAACAGCAGCAATGAAAACAAGTCACGAATATATTCTCTACGCATTTGTATCATGTATTTTTCACTGATATAAATTTTGTAAACAAAGTAAAAGTTTGTGTAACACTTTTTTCAAGCATATTATCGTGAAACGACAAGAAAAAATACAAAAATATAAAAATAACATACCTTTTTCATTGTCCTTTTAGTAGAAAAACGTTAATTAAATCAAAACAGATTCATTTTTTTATGTTTTTGATCGGATCTGAACATGAACTTGTCATTGTCAAAGCCAAAGCCAAAACAGGCATAAAAGATTTTATTCCAAAGCTTCTCTCAGTTCTCTGCTATCATATTCATGAAAAAAGCATGTACATTTTTACTGAAACTATACGTAGTTTTTTGTGTTTTGTTTTTCCCAGTTTTCTCGAGTTTTCATATTCGTGTTTTATATCTTTTAACTTTTCATTTTTCAATTTTTGTCAGCCTCGCTTTGAAAATACACAACTGCACTGATCTCATCTCAAATTAGTTCGCAAGCAACACTGGAATTTTAATCAATTTAATCTTTACATCTGATAAAAAATAAACACGTTATTTACCGGCAGCGTCGGTCCGGATGAGAAAAACTGTGCCCTCGGTCTTGAAAACGTCCCTCGCCCTTCGGGCTCTGGCCGTTTTCAAGAACTCGGGCACAGTTTTTCTCATTCGGACCTCGCAGCCGGTAAATAACATATATATATATATATATTGCGTTATCCACTCGCGTGTGCAATGAGTTTGACAGTTGTGCTATTTTAAATTTCCAGGCATCTACAGCCACCTGCTGGTCCATCAATATACAAATATTCCAAATAAATTTTTCAAAATCACCAACATTTCGCAAAAATTACCATTGTTATTACCAAATATTTTCAATTACCCAAATCTACCAAAAACTGACGAAAATATCAGCTCGCATTGCCCAACATGTCTTTGTCCGCAAGAATTATTGGAACAGTTTGTGATTGGTGGAATTACGATATCAGTCACATCTGTATCAAATTGGGCTGTTTATTTGATGCGCAAAAAATATCGAAATAATTAAATATTGATTTCGTTATTGGGTGACTTTAAGCCTGTAAGCTTTAACTAGAAAGCCGTTTGCTAAATGACATAGGAAAAGTAGAATTGTTTTTGTGTAGAATAATTAATTAAATTTCTTTAATTACTACAATAAACTATCGAACATGCATATGCTACATATTGTAGCGGTAATCTACGCAGACTCCTCACCAATCAAAGGCGTGCACGGCACATGTTAAAAGTGTAAAATGTAGAAGAGACTTTATTGCGCTCTATTTTATTAAGAAAATTAATTGAAAGTCGTTACAAGCACATCAAAATTACGTATTAATAGAAAAAGAGTGTTGAGTAATTAGGCATAAAAGTTCGTCAAATTAGAAAAACATCAGTAACTTGTCTTCATCAACCTCGTTTACAAGCGAGGAATTCCCATCGTCTATCCCTAAGAAAATATAACGAAAGATGATAAGAGACATGTCGTCATAATAAGTTATTTCAACTGAATCGTGTAAACAGCACAACATGTAATAACATATAATAACTATCAGTTGAGATAACATAAGATATAATAACTAACAGTTGACAAATTATCTTAACTTGAAGATAATGCAACGGCAAATCCGAAACAGATATCTCGCTGTCAGCAAGGCCAAAAAACCCTGCGTGTTGTGACCTTCATTTCTCATCGAATTTTCAAACATATTTAATTACAATTTTGACCGACGGATCGGCCGCGATTTATGCCGCCTAAACTTTTCTGTTTACCTTTTTTTAATACTTCTTCAGTTATCCTGTTGATCAGTAGACAAAAAGACAAACAAACAATCACACAAACAAACGTAGTTGAATATTTGTTGGACTTACTCATTTCCATTGTCATGAAAACTTTGTGCCCCAGTGAGAAAAGAGCCACTGGGTACGACGTAGTTCAGATAACCATCGAAGTTATTCACATAGCCAGACCAAACACAATCACGTGCGCAATTACTCTGGGTGTTACAACATCTAAAGCTGAATCTTCTGTCTTCAGCTTCGTTGCTGTGAGTAGAGTGCACACCTAATTTATTGGAAATAATAAATTCAAATTATTTTACTGAGAACATACAATAAATTGTAGATATGTTGTGGGATTAGATCCAACTAAATCACTCTTCTACTTTTCCAGTTGTTACTGTTGTTGGTATATAGTGGTTAGTTTTACAGTTGTTAGTGTTGATTTTTCTATTGCTGTTAATGCTGCTTTTGCTGCTAATGTTGCTCTTACTGTTGTGGTTATAATCGCGATCGATGTTACTGTTTCTGTCGCTATTGCATGTTGTGGCGCTGTTTATGTCACTGTTGCTGTCACTGTGAATATGGAGCATTGTGTTAGATTTTTAGTTCGTTTATATTTATTTATTCATTTAAAATAACATTGGTTGCATGCCATTAAACGAATTAATTAAAAATAATCAATTGATTTTTTGCACTTATCAGCATTTAACATTCGTTATTGAAACAAATCCTTTAGCAGCGTTCAAAATTAATTAAAGGTTTGTCGAGGATAGCCTTAACAAACGGATTGTAGCATATAACCTGTAATAACTCCATTTGGACATTGGTATACTACTTTTTGGTCGTAGGAATTCACAAATCCAGACCACTGACATGTGGTTGTGATTTTGGAGTCAGGTCGGCATAAGAAAGTCCACGAACGATCTTCATGAGGGTTGCTATGGACACTGCTCACATGATAGATAGATTGACCTATATGATTGATTAGAAAATAAGCATCAATTATTGATAACTCATCTTGTTACCTATGCTACAGTATATTTAGTGGTTCATGGATCCCTCTGGGTATTCTAGCATCAATAATTCCCCATTTCACGGTTGATTCCTGTTCTCTTGATCCCCCAGCTTCGGTCTATGGTTATTTACAACTCAATAATTTTGCCCGATTTCGCAAAAGAGTTTGGTATTGGGAAGTCAGAACTTAATTGGAGGTCAGAATACAGAAGACAGAAGTGACACTCATAAACTATCGATAGCAATCAAGAAAGAAGTGCAGCTAGCAACTCAATCTGAAAGAGATATCGCCGGCGCGAATATTACAAAAATTACGAAATCTGTAAGCCTTGTTGTTTAAAATGATTTTTTGTATTTCTCAAAATTATCTTGAAAACGTATACTAAACTGATGTATTAAATCGTATTATCCCTTAACCCACTGAGTTGCATGCAACGCGCCTTAATGCACCTTATTTTGCCATTTTACTCTCTCTAACGCCAGTGTTCATAACCAAAAGTAATTTTTTGGAATTAGGTGAAAATCAATATGGCCAAATGCACCATTAAATTAAAGAATGATGATGACCAAAAATTCAACATAGTCTACAATGAAATTTATTTTAAATCGGACAGAGTGTAAATATGCAATATCATAATGTTTGTAAACATACCATTAGGACAAGTTTTGGTCCATGTTGCATCAAAGTTTGTTCCAGCATTAATGCACATTGCATTAGCAAAAAGAAACAAGGCTACTAACATGACTTGCATCATTGTCGTGTACTACATAAACAAATTATTAAAATTCGATTAGTCATATTTCTTCCAGTATACGAATTTTAATGCAATCCCGATATGTCTGAAAAGGGGCATATTATATTAGGAAAAAGGACTTGCTATCTCTGATGTCCCAGCCCTTTGACTATAGAAGTTATACTTTTTTTACTATAAAACAATTCTTTATTTTATGTGTAAAATGCGAAAAAAATTTCCTGTGTCGATTCGTTCTGAAGTTAATTCAGACCACATACTGCATTCAATATTCTGCGCAGTTATCCTGAACATCTGTATAAAATCGTAGTCAATAGAATAGATGGTTTGGAAACACATTATAGAATAACTTCCTTCATTCATCTAGGGAAAAGTTCTACCCAGGAATTATATGCAACTCCTTAGAAGGAACTAAATTGAGCGTCCTGTCATCAAACTCAAGAAAGCGGCACCAGGTGTTAGGGCGGCAGGGTCGACTTTTTGTACACTGTGCCCCATGCAATACTGAATTTTTAAAATAATAATAGTTATTTTATATAACTCTTGATTTAGATTACAATCTAGAGAATCAATATTGTGATTGCAAAAGCGCAATAACCGGGCATGCATGCACGGTCATTCGTCGTAAAATAATGACCTGATTCATATTATTTTGAACAGCTATATAAATATATATATATATATATATATATATATATATATATATATATATATATATGGAATGAATAAACTAAATGAAATAGAAGTTTTTCAATTCCTACCTGAAAATAGTAGAAATGGCTTCACCAAGCTGGTACAAAGAGGCGGAGATAATTGATCTTCTTCTGTGCACACTGACGAGCTGTGGTATTAACTGAATGAAACAGAATTGTGTTGTCACTGCCATCTGGCATATCTATATATATACACACACTGATAACCACGCCTACATCAAGAGAGATATAGAGCTTTTGTTTAGTTTAATTTAAATTATCGTCATCTTTCGCTTTTCCGGACTTCTACACATCCTCCCTCTACTGTAATAGAATGGTTGTTTAGTTTAACGTCATGTTCAACTCTGTAGTACCACTTATACTTAAAATATTTTTAGTAACATTATATTTTCTTCCTTCCTGAGAGATGTGAATTCCTAGCAGAGAGGTGTGGTCTGAGGGCTAATCTTAGATGATATCAATAGTCGTGTTTCAATTTAAGCCTCTGAGCCATGATAACCTGCATTTCACGCGAATTGTTCTTACAAACTTCAATACAGTTCAGGAAAAATACGTGAACATTTACAAGTTATAGAAACTTGAGTTCGTTAACGATTAAGTTATAGTTTGACCCTTTTAGAGTATTTTGTGAATAGGGTTTTAGTTGTAGATGGAAATTTGAGTGTGAATTCTATATCTTTATACATTAAATTAACAGACCTATATAATTATGGGCCGTCTGGCAAGAATCATAATCTGTATTATGTTTAAAAATTTCTTCCTTTTTCTTATCATATATGATTCCGTTTCGGACAAACTGTCAATTCATCAATACTCATCGCTAATATCCACAGTGCCAATATCGTCATGCAAACTGACAAAATTATCTTCCAGGACTTATTCTAAAGAAATTTTATCACTGCACAAAAGTGCGAAAACTGATAAAATTTATATAAATTTAGCGACATTTTAGAAAACGGTCTGACTGCCCTGCATAAGTGCACGCACAGTACTTTGGTTCTGCAACTTAAAGTTTGCCCCATACATGTCACTAATTATATGCAGGCAAATGAGCTAAAATCACCAGTAATGAGCCCAAATCTGCGTGCTGCATATTCTATAGTTTATGCAAAAATATACACATTTTCACATATTTTTTGAATCGCATGCAAAACACCAAGTGATATTGCTCATGATCTAGTTTTTTACACTCGTAACATAGATTACCCTACACCATTTAAACAGCGTCAAAAATCTCAAAACAAAATCGCTCGGCAGTAGTTTAACCAGACGAAGATGACATAAAAGTGATTTTCTTGAACGCGACTTGAAAATTAACGCTAGAAGAGATACCTGATCGGAATGAATATGCCTCCGAAACATTAGTATATGAATGCTTTATTGATCAAGCGGTCAACAGGCAGTATAGATGAGCTCTCAGATTGCAATAATTCAGTTGAGTTGAATATTTTCACTCTGTACATTCTCAACAAAAACTGAAAGCCATTGTATGTGCATTATATGCAAATTACAAGCAGTGGCCATTTTGTCGCCAATTTATCAGGTACTGAACAATATCGCATTTTATCACTGCGCATAATCTAATTTATCACTGCACAAATCCCATTTATTACTGCACAAATTGGTTATCACTGCACCTTAGAATAATCCCTGTAACATAACGTCTTCAATCGTGATCTGAATTAAGAACGCTCTTGAATGCAGGAAGTTCTCTGACATAAATAAGTGCTATCCTTGCATGTTCGTGTTCCAACGCACATTTCTCTTCAGTTCCCCTAATACTAGCCTATAATAACTAATACATATTAATATATATAACCCCGCTTATTCTGCGCTGTCACAAATGTAAAGTTGTTATATATTGAATACTCATCATTCCCCAGAATACCAAACAAAAACGTTCTATTTCGTATAAGCTCATTTTCTGTCTAGTTAGCAATTTCCTCTGGCATATACATTGCACGAACAATGTTGTTCAACTCTAGGATATCACTTATTTAAAATATTTTAAGTAACACATTGTTTGAACAGCTAAATTTACCATACGCAACTTGGGTCTCATTGAAGAATTTGACTTCAAGGAAAAGGGACCCAACCAAGAGGTGGTGAATTTGTATCGGGTTTCAGCCTCTGCATTAGCCTTGATAACCTGCATTTTCGAATTTCGAAACCATTAAATTTTTCTATACTTTATTTAAAAACGTTCATATACTATGAAAGTAAGTTTGTTTATTACCATTGGAATGTATAAGGACATGAACCAAGTTGCCCTTCACATTTTTCTTCAATAGGCTAATTTTAAGCTTTGTAGTCTACCGAGCCGAACAATGTAAGTCTATAAGGCAATAATTTTGAGCTAAATATTTTCATCCATCATAAAAACTATAAGAAACTGAAAAAAAGCTGAAAGCCATTGTATGTGCATTATATGCAAATTACTATACAAGCAGTGGCCATTTTGTCGCCAATTTCTGTCACTGGACAATATCGTATTTTATCTCTGCAACATAATCTATATAATTTACAGGTGCACAAATCTCATTTATCACTGCACAAATTGGTTATCACTGCACCTTAGAATAATCCCTGTTAATAACTTCTTTAATCGTGACCTGAATTAAGAACGCTCTTGAATGCAGGAAGTTCTCTGACATAAATAACTGTTGTCTTTGCATGTTCGTATTCTAACGCACATTTCTCTTCAGTTCACCTTATACTAGCTCATAATAACTAATACATCTTGATATATATAACCTGCGCTGTCTCAAATGGAAGGTTGTTATGTATTGAATAGGCCTACTCATCATTCCGCAGAATACCAAACAACAACTTTTTGTTTCGTTTAACGTCATCTTCTGTCTAGTTACCAATTTCTCCTGGTATACACATTGCACAAACAATCTGTTGTTCAAATCTAGCATACCACTTATTTAAAATTTTTTAGTAACACAATGTTTGAACAGCTAAATTTACCGTACGCAACTATGTTACCTTTTGGGTCTCATTGAAGAACTATAGTTGCAGGTTGACTTCACGGAAAAGGGCACAACCAAGAGGTGGTGAATTTGTATCGGGTTTGAGAATCTGCGCAGTAGCCTTTTAGCGAAATAGCTGTCATGCACAGGCAAAGGCAATAATTTTATTCTAAAAACTGAACTATTTGGTTGTTATAACGTCATCTTCCGTTTAGTCACCATTTTTTGCTGGTACTTATGGCATTACAATGTTGTTGAAATATTTTTATATAGTAACAAAGTATTATGTATTATTATTTTATAGTAGTCTAACATAATTATATGGCGTGCTTGCCATGTTTACCAGGGGAGGTCCAAGGCCACGTTTGGGATTTGGCGCCCAGTTCCCTCCTTGTAATTTGTATACAGGCGAGCGTCATAGATGCGAGATACGCATGTGAGCCTGGGGCAAAATTTTGAAATCAATAATCACTGAAAAGCCATTCTTGCGTTTTGACGAAATATTTAGATCAATAATCTGCAAATGCATTGAGGAGTAAAGGTAATGGATATTTGGATATCGCCGATCGATGTTCTATCTCCATATGTTTTTGTACCTAATGGAAGTTGGTGAACGACTGAAATTAATTACGAGACTGTATGCGAGAGATATTATTGATTATTAAAATTATGTTTACACAGTTTTCTAGTTCTATATACGAATAAGGACAAAGTTAGATTTGTAAAAAAAAAATCACATTTAATTTACATTGGCGTCTTCGGAAACACGTCAATAATGCACTCTTTGTGCATGTAAAAACTGATAGGTTAAAACAACCTATTTCTAAAGGTTATAACCAATAATTAAAGGTTGTTTTAACCAATTGAATGGGTTAGAACCGATTTAAATTAGTTAAAATAACCTATTATTATCAGGTCAAATTTTGCGACCAATAAAAATAGGTTAATTTAACCAATGTTTTTGGTTAAGGCAAATTTACCGATTGGTTATTATTCCCAAATAGGTCATTATAACCATTATGATTAGGTCAAAACACTGGAAGCTAAACTAACCTATATAAAATATGTCAAAATATTTAGTTCGACTTACGACATATACTTTCATTTTCAAGGAGTTATTTTTTAACTCCACTGAGAGTTAAAAACCATTTAATCGTAGTAGGACTGTAGAGTGTAGGAGTAAAATAGCGAGTAATTTTCCACCAAGTTTTTACTCGGCCTGTGTAATATACTCGACCATTACACATAGGAATTCATAGGAATGACAACAACTATATTCAAGTTTCTTCAACCTAGAATTAGGGCGATATTTTCTATACAAATTCGTAGTGAGGGACCGCAGTTCGTGTAAAATCTTCACAAGATTTTGAATTAGCTTCTTGACGCGCCGTTTTACCAAATGTTGCCAAGTCAGATTCTTGTATTACTAGTATATCGGACCATATCGGCTTCTTATTGTTCAATCACACGCGACGATCGAATGTAGCCAGAAATTGTCAGCGAGTTTTTCTTGTCAAATTAATTTAACAGTTATTGCTCGGCTCATCTATATTTTTTATTTGCTGCGTAAATCTCTACCGCGTTTGCCAGAGGTTCTGTAATTTGAACTTGTGGAATGTTTTGCTGCGGAATATAATTTGCGACAAGTGGAAGTTTCAAACTTTCAACCAATTAACATGCTTAGAATATATCACGTGTTGTAGTAATTCGATCTGTATGACACATTGACAACAAGCGCCAAAGTTCGATCTTTTGAGAGCAAGCATTCAAAGAGCAAGATTTCTATTCAAATTTTCTATTATAAAGTTCGAAAGACCTAATAAAATACATGGAATTTGAAAGGTATGTCTATTGTGTATTTACTCATTTGTATGCGGATAGTTACTAGACATACTGTAGTTAAATTTTTATTAAAATCGAAGGCCTGTATTTTATGAATTACGGTCGTTTCGCCAACGAGTCGTTTCGCCAACTGTCAGTTCGCCAACATCTCGGGTCGATACGCCAACGCTCGTCCACGTTCTTATGTCAGTTCGCCAACGTCGCGTAGTTCATATGAGACATGGATATACAAATCTATCAATGTTTGTAGAAAATAAGAAAATAACCGAAATAGTGTATTCTTCTGACATTTATTTTCAGACGGTCTAAAACAGGTTTAATCATATGTAATATATTTTAATATTAGCACATTTTTAATATCAGGAATATAAGTAAACGTCGAGTTTAAAGGAATAAAGGCCGTTTTCTATTCCCGCATTTCCCTCGCGAAAATTGAAACATTCCTGGTTGTTCTGTCATACAAGTTCGGTTTGGAGATTGTGTTTACAAGAAACTCCAAGATATTTCGTGTGTTTAATTAATTAATCTTCATAATACAAGAACATCAGTAACAACTAACAATGTCGCACAATACGCCTTTTATATGAACTACGCGACGTTGGCGAACTGACATAAGAACGTGGACGAGCGTTGGCGAATCCACCCGAGACGTTGGCGAACTGACAGTTGGCGAAACGACTCGTTGGCGAAACAACCGGATACCGTATTTTATATTAGTCGCTTCGCCGCCGATTCAGTTCACTGAAGGCATCTAGACGTTCAGTTGTAAATTTTCGATTAATTTCTATTAGCAGAAGTCTATAAATCTAATCTACAGTCTCCACGTATATGTGTTGTTATGAAAATCGTATAGCTTATTTGTGTGACATACATTTGTATGTTGTAATTTTCTGTTAAATATTTGCTATAAAGAAGATGCTTGTGACGTTACTCTGAGCTAGTGTATATCGACACCGAGCAAGCTTGAAAAATATGCCTGTCCACGGTGGGAATCGAACCTACGACCTTTGGAATACTAGCCCAATGCTCTGCCAACTGAGCTACGTGGTCAGGTTGGTTCGAGTATGTGATATTTCGGTCTCTAGTAATCATGATATTTTCTATCTTGATGTAAATATGTACTGAGCCCTGAGGTGAATATGATGTTTGTGATGTTACTCTGAGTGTATATCCACACCGGGCAAGCTTGAAAAATATGCCTGTCCACAGGTTTGATTCCCACCGTGGACAGGCATATTTTTCAAGCTTGCTCGCTGTGGATATACACTCAGAGTAACATCACAAGCATCATATTCACCTGAGTACATTGCATCAACACAGAAAATATCATTTGCTATAAACTTGACATGTATACTTTTATATATGTGATGTGTTTGAAATACAGTCACCTTAATAGCATATAGACAGCATTGCAATGCCCATCTCGGCATCTCCCAATATTACCCAATCAATATATCGCATGTGCTTGCTATGCCTAGCTATGGTAACCCTGCTATCGGTCAGCCTAAAACATATGTAAGGGGCTGCTTATATAGAGGCGAGCCAACCCAGGTAACCTGCCTATAGTTTGCTTTCCCTGGACGAATGTCTATTTACATGAGCCTCTCTAGATGGGCTCAAGGGCAGGCTACGCTCGCCAAATCAAATCACCCAGACTGAGTTTCAAGTGTAATAGCAGCACATTTTCCAATAAAGTACACCGACATAATACTAAGCTTTTGCAAACAGTTTCGAAATGTAACTGACAAAAACAATTCCAGAGATCTTTTAATATTGAAATTGATTGGGAAATGTCATTTAGAAGATTGCATGTACCTAAACAAAGCATTAATACTGCACCAAATCCTGGGTCATTATATATATAGTTTATATGGGAAATCCTATCTTGCCATTAGCAAGATTTTGGGTCAATTGTGGTAGGATCTTCCTAAAACAGGCCAGCTCAATTCTAGTTATAAGTTACACAAGTTGAAAAAATATAGAAAATAATGACAAAGTCAGGATCTCACCAAAACTGGGCCAGCCCAGGTACACAGGTTGTTGGCTCACAGGCGCGGATCCAGCCTAAAACCCTGACCGTGGCGCACTCCAAAACCGCGCCTAATTAGGGGGTTGAAATTTGAACGCCGGAAATGCCATTTCCTGAGTTCTGAGCATCGAATTCTATCATATCATTCGTCATTAATTACGTCATATTTTAGACAGGAAATAACGAAACGCACTAAATAAGTCAAATATTTAAAAAACATACCATGTTCTTCAGCGAACGTTACAACATTAGAATGTTACAAAATCACCGTACTTACATAAAACCACAACTCTGTACCGTCAACAAAGGCTGCGAACGTACTGTTTTTGTGTAATTCAGGTTCTTCGTAGAAAAAAATATCCATTTAGGGCTGTACATCGAACTCAATCATCTTGATGTTTCAGTTGCAACGTAGATCTTTTACGGGGTGGGTTTTTTTTTTAGCTGCACATCGGCACCAAGTGTCTTATTCTCGATCATTCGCTTAAACTGTGTAGCACGGAGAGCTGTCGACTGCCGTTGCATGAACATTGGATTTTTCACAATGCTGACATAGTTTCTGGACAGCAGAAGCACTTGGAGGAAGAGCACTGGTCATCAATCGTTGGAGCTTGCCTGCATTATGCGTGTTTTCACCACCAAAAAGAAAACCTGCAGTTTGCCACAGCAGAGTAAGCCAACCATGGAAATCGTGATAACCATACCAACCGGAAACGTCTACCAATATTTTCGTGTGGAGGAAAAGAAAAATCAGAACCAGGTTTCCAATGATTCCACAGAATTTCGTACTTTTTCGAATCAGGAAGACTGGACACCAGATTTACGTAGTTGTAGATATCATCTGGCCACGAATTGGTAGAAGTTCGTTGTGTTTTGGGGTTAGATTTTTCTGAAGTAGGACCAGTGTTGGGAGTTACAGATGAAATTCCTTTACTAGTGCTGGGAAATTTGATTTCACTGTCTACAGTTTCTTGTGTGTTGTATGCTCGTTTCACAAGAAGCGCATCGATCTAAGCTAATTTGTTTTCTTTTTGTACCAGTCGTCTGCTTTTTAGTAGATGTAGTCACTTGTGTAGAGGAAGGAGCAGAAGAAACTTTAGTATTAAATAGAAACTTTAGTATGAACTGTAGGAGGAACTTCAGGACGAACTGGCATGGCAGACTTCAATAAGGTTGGAAGGTGTGCTTTAAAATAATGGTCTCGTGGCTGCAGCGCTTTAACTGGTTTGCACAAGGTAACAAAATTATTTTTGGTAGATGGAATTCTTCGATCAACCAAATAAGACGGTGGCATCGCAGCACAACGAAAGATATGGACATATTCAATTGCACTGCCATCAAGATAATCATGTGGATATATTGTACAATTGAATCCAAGGACTCCCAATTTTCTTTCACTACAGTATCATTGGTGAGTGGGTAGAATGACTGAATGGCACACTGAATTACTGTAGACAAGGCAAACATGTACACCATGGATGAGAATGTGTAATTTTTTGCAGTTTCCTTTGCTTCTTCTAAAACTGCTGCAATTTCATTACAATTCTCGAAAATAGTAAGTGCTGCATCAGATACACACATGGCAAAGGCATTTTTAAGTGAAGTGAATGCTACGTTTTTATGCTGGGACTCAATGAGGGGATGGTTATAGCATAGTATTTGGCATTCTCAAACAGTTCAATACTGGTGAGGCATGTCAAGCGAGCAGACAAACTCTCATTCCCGATTAACGCAATAGAACATGCATTAAATTAATTAAAGAGACAATTCCCATTAGCCGAAGTACTGAAAGAAAATCAGCATTTAAGTATCAATGGTTATTTTATATTATTTTGTGAATATTCTATTGAAACTTTTAACCAGAATGAAAACTTCTTTGTACCACACAGTAATTATGTGATTATACTTTGCAAACTTCACTCAAATTATCTGGAGAACAAATGTTATGCCTTGCCATTTGAGAAATAGCAAGGAACCATTTGTTTTCCCAAATGTTTTCCCTCCTTTTGCTGGCCTTGAATAACTCATGGGAATTTGTTGCAGTTAGGATTAGGATCAGGATGACATCATCCACAACAACATCAATATTCATCCACAACAAACACCTGTGAGGTAGTCACCCTCCAGGGGCCAGTTGTTCAAATGCCCATTAGTTTAACCCTGGGATAAAATTCAAAGCAAATTGTCTATGAATTTAAAAATAATATTTGCTGTGTTGGTGTAATGTACTCAGTGAATAAGATGCTTGTGTAATGTTACTCTGAGTGTATATCCACACCGGGCAGGCTTGAAAAATATGCCTGGCCACGGTGGGATTCAAACCTACGACCTTTGGTAAAGGCATTGGGAGATTTCCTTGGCAGAGCATTGGGCTAGTATTCCTTGGCAGAGCATTGGGCTAGTATTCCAAAGGTTGTAGGTTCAAATCCCACCATGGCCAGGCATATTTTTCAAGCCTGCCCGGTGTGGATATACACTCAGAGTAACATCACACAATCATCTTATTCACCTGAGTATATTACACCAACAGTCCAACACAGCAAATATCATGATTATTAGATTACACTGATATTGAAGGAACTACTGTAGACTCAGTTCCGAAGTACCGGTATCGCATACTCGAACCGACCGGACACCGTAGCTCAGTTGGCAGAGCATTGGACTAGTATTCCAAAGGCCGTAGGTTCGAATCCCACCGTGGCCAGGCGCATATTTTTCAAGCCTGCCCTGTGTGGATATACACATAGAGTAACATCACACAAGCAATTTAGAAATATTTTTTCAGAAATCTTGTCTGGATGAATGAAAGTTTTCTTCAAAGCTTCGAAGTAAACGGCTGTTTACACCCAAACAAAACACACAAACAAAAACACTAAGTTAAATTTTAACCAACAATTGGCCTTAGCTTAGAACAACCGACACCAGGTCAACCTACAAATATTAAGGCGCTATATTTAAAGCTTGGTGAGACCTAATAGACGACTATATAGACCCAATACTGAAGTAAACATATCATATTACAGTCGACAATCAAATGTTGTAGCCGTAAACTGTAGCAAAATACTGATAACAGTTTTAAACAGAGTTATTTACTAATATTTCGCGACTACATAGCGGATAAATGCAATTTATATTTTATTGACAACCGCCATGTGTTCGAGATCATATTACCATTTCACTAACAAAAATTTTAATACATACATACTGATTTGCATACACAAATTATTCCCTGACCCCAGCGTAAACGCAAATTTAATATAAGTCGATTAAAAATTCTTACCTAACAGGAACATATATTAGGCCCAGATCTTTCAATTTGGCTCTTGGGGAACTGCAGTTTTGAAAATTCGCACGTTGGCAGCACGATGTCGCCAGTAGATTTCATACGGCGCAGCCTTTCTTCAGTGATAAATTCATCAATTGTTGCCTCAAGAGCGATAATTCCCCTGAAATATGTTCGCTTTAATAGGTTTGCTTGTTGAAAGATTTCGACGAGCTTCCTAAGAACATCGACCTTTTTTAAAAGCTTCTATCCTGATAGCATTCGACTCAGCGAACTGACCAATGTAGCTTGTGGTGTATTATTCTTTATCCCGTCGCGTCAAGTCGACAAGTATCGAACTTTATTGTTGATCATTTGTATTGCGCAATCAAAACAGAGCCACCGTGGCGCACCGTGGCGCACATGACCACAACTTGCCCTGTGATTGGTTTGCAACGCTGCACCGTGGCAGAAAGTTACTATATTTAGTAACAATTGCGCAATTTTTTGCACGCTGACCGTGGCATCTTGTGGCTGTGATCGCAGCTTCGAATTTACGACTGTTTTCCGAACATATTCGGCACAATTCGGCACGCTTTCGGCGGTTTTTATAGTTCAGTGTTTAACTGGATAATTATACTATTGAACAAGGAATATATTTCGGAAGTTTTTCCTGCTTTTAGCACAAAATTATTACGAAAGATATTATTCAAATTGTTTGCTATAGACCAAATTTGCTCAATTTTGCTGTATTTCAAATTTCAAATAACTAATATATACTTCTTAAAAATGCGTTATGCAGTCTAACGCAGTATCCAACAAAGGTGAACCCCGGAAAATTCTAGGTGGGAAAAATCTGACCGTGGCTCGAGCCACTTTTGCCACGGTCTGGATCCGCGCCTGGCTCACCCCATATAAATAGCCCCAGCCTAAATCTACCTGGCTGGATTATATAGATATTTTTCATTTAGGAATTTTGGAAAAAAAGTTATGCACTTCTAGATATTTTAAGCACCCTTTACCAGAATAGTTGTATTGGATGATGGTATTACTTCAACTGCATTGCTTACATTAAACGAGTAAAAGCATTTGAATTTTGTATTTCTTGCTTTGTATACTGGTAGACAACCAAAAATAGGAAATTCATTGTCAATCAATTAATAATTTCCTGCCGTTATACAGTATATCAAGTGAATCCTTTAATTTTTTTTCTCCTCAATTTAATTTAGGGATTGTATTTAATATGGATTCATTGTATTATCCTGATGCTGAATGAAAAGTAATTAAAAAAAGCTAATTCTGGACAGGAGAAGGCAAGTTGTTTAAGCAAGTTGTCCAAACAAATAGAATATATATATTAGTCATTGTTAATGGCATTTGGTTATTCCAGAAAACATCCATATTACTTCCCCCACAGAGGAAACTGGAATTTAACCTCCCTACCCCCTTCAGATCAGATCTACTAAATACACTTACTATTACCTCCCCCCATCAGGTCAGATCTACTAAATACACTTACTATTATCAGAAACAATTTTTTAACACAACCCCCCCCCCCTCAACCCACCCCACCGGATGGTGGGAATTTCCTCGTGTGGGAGTGTGGATCTTTTCTGGATAGACCAATTCTTAGTACTTCATAGTCTCTTTGAAAAATGTTATTCTTTTGCACGAGAGCACGTTCATGGATTACCAAACCATGCAAGGAATGGAGTTGCGGACCCGTGGTATACAGCTTGTTTTGACTAAAATTTAACTGATGGACTTACATGACATGCTTGATTGAACAGTCACACTATATGCATATTTTACTTGTAAATATTCTACATTGAACATAATGTTAACCCTTTATGTGACAATTTTACTCATGAAGGAGAGAGTGCTGCCATTCAATGGGTTAAACATTTGAGCAATAAATATGTAATAGGCACGTACTGTGCCGGGAATGGAACCTTCTGTCCTGTGATTCTGAACAGCTCTTTAACAGCCGGAAGACAATCAAGCCCTGAGAGTCCAAGCCCCAAGAGTCCATCAAGCTAACCAAGAGTTCATGTATATATGAATTATAAATGTTCACAGTAAAATTTTAAGCAGAACTCAACAGCATGAAGCTTTTTATTTAGGTTTAGAGAATACATTTGCACAGTGTGCATGTATGCATGTGTAAATATTTATCTCCTTTCTTTGATTTTTGTAGAGTTGGAAAACTGCTGTATTCTTGCAGCCTTTGCCATATATGTTGGGGAAAAAGGCAGCAAGCAAACAAATTCCAGGGGAGATATTTTTCAAAATTTGTGAATGTAAGTCAATTTTGTATATTTTATGCCATTTTTAGCTGATTAGTGATGTCAGATCGAACTTATTAACCCTTTAAGCTGCAGAGCTTCTCCATTGACGAGCAAAATCGTCTGGCATTAGACAAGTAAAAAAATGTAGGGCATGCTGGGGTGCATTGTGGCTCAATGGGTTAACTGTAGACATTGTCAGATTTTTTGGTTAAAAACCCATTAAGACAAGTTAAAAGAATAAGTAGGGTGCGCTGGGTGTTGTGCAGTACAGTTGCAACGTGCATGCACATACATAGGCTACCTGGAGATATTTGGTATAGTGGTGTTAAGTTTCCTTGTAAGATCCTTAATGTTGCATGCATATATAATATATTCTCATTTTTTGTTTGCAGAGTGATTTTGAAATTCAGCATGCTGAGAGAATAAAGGCGTGTTCAACACCGCAGCTATTGGCAACCGGATCTCTACAAGAGATAAGTTCACTATGGTATAGTTGCCATATTAAGAGGAAGTACTATAATCAGCACTATGATATGCTTATTAGCAGCGTATTTTGTTTTTAATGCTGAATACCGCAATGGCCTTGGCAATGTTCCTCGAGCATATTCTACTGGGCAGGATTGGTCAAAGTCTGCCAATCGGTGTTGAGAACTTTCTAGCACTATTGTGAAGAACACCAACTGTCACCAAGTGTGTAGTGGACTATAGAACACAAGCTAGAACTAAGATTATATGGCGATCGATTGATGTAACATATTGTAATAATGAAAGATTGAGACTGCACAAACAGGGTTGCATGGTGATCTCGATCTAATTAATGCTAATTAAGCTAAGTGCTTAGCATTGCTTTCATTATAATATATAATACTTGACTATATCGTCCGTATTCTAAAAGCTCACTCACACTCACACTCAATGAGTGGAGGTTCAATCTGAGCTCTATTGAGTGTCAGTGCTGTTTTTAATTTTAGGTGAAGGGTTAGTGTCGTACCTTACTATGCGACCACTCATCCTCCAGCTATTCAAAAACAGCACTGACACTCAGAGAAGCTCAGACTGAACCTCCACTCAGTGAGTGTGAGTGAGCTTTTAGAATACGGGCGTATACCATGCAACTCTCTAGCCTATGTGTCAGTAACATTGTAGTCAACTGAAACACAGGTCTACTATAGTAACACTATACGTACTACTGTGTACTTACTGTAATTTTAGATGTTACAAAATATATTTTTATATAAAGTTCATAATATTGTTTGATTATATATAGCGTACTTGGATGATTAATTGCCTGCAGAATTATTGCCCTATTTAGTTTTAGCTTATCTTATTTAGTTGAGGCAACATCATTTAACCAACGAAAGTGCGCGCTGTTTCGTACTACCGACCTTGACCGTTATTTACTGGTTGTTATAGCTAAAAAAAATGGCCAAATCAACCAAAATATTATTGGTGAATATCCGTACCATTTCTATTATAGTTAAAACAACCTATATTTATTTGGTTGAAATATGCTCAATTTGACATTTAAATTTTAGTCATTTTAACTTTTGAATATAGGTTGGAATTACTTTTTTAATTAGTCAAAATAACCATAAATCTTTAGTTCAATCAACCAATAATTAATAGGTTAAAATTACATATTACAGATTTATAGGTTAAAGTAACCATTTGCAATGGTTTGCTTTAACCTATTTAATTTTAGTTGTTTTAACCTATATTAAAACAACCTATTTCTTATGGGTGTAAACCAACCCATTTTTAATGGTTTGTTTTAACCTATTTATTTTCGGTTCCTTTAACCTATTGAAATAACCTATATTTATCGGGTTGTCCTAGACCAAACCAAATAACCTATTTTTTTTGGTTATTTTAACCTATCAGTTTTTACAGTGTAAGGCTTCCAATCGTCCTTGCAACATAGTTGAACAAATTTGAGTTTTTGCTCTCTTAAGTGCTGAGATTGAGCGCTCAGCAGTGGCAGAACTGATAGGGATCTCAAGCGCGTACACTTTACAAAATCTGGGATATGCATCAACCAGGTGGTAATCAGGATGCGACAGGATTGTACACCTGCAGGTACATCTTTGTTCCGTGTTGCGTCGTATTGTCTTTATCTGATTCTTCATCATGATCTAAATCATCATGATTGTTTTC